AAACCCTATGTGTACTCAATTCTTTCTTCAGTTTCTTCTTTTCATTAAGGAACAGTTGATATATATCTTTTGTCACTGTAACTCTTGAAGGAAATTCAAACGTTGGAAAGAAATACTTTGTATATAATTGAAAACCTTCATCTTGCACGTCTAAATGGTAACTCGGCTTATAAGAAGTACTTAGCAATCATTTCTCTAGTCCCTTTTTGAGTGAACCTAACAACTAACGCTCTCTAAAACACATCATTTTTAGATTTAGTGTAATAACCCATAGTCTTTTGCTTTTTCTCTGGAACCTTATATGGATATTTCTTGCATAAGCACTCAAAATGGTTTCGCAATGTACTAGTCCCCGCATTTTTGTTGCCATATTTATAAAATTGCCCACAGTAAATACACTATGCCTTTTCATCATGTAGTTTAAAATGATCCCAAATATCAGATCTTTTAGCTCCTTTTTTTTCCCTTAGTGGAATCTGCATGTTGCTCAACTTCTACACTATCAACAACTTCATTTGNTGTTGATCAACTTCTACACTATCAACAGCTTCATTGGGCTCAACATAATTTTCTTGAGAGAGGTCAATATGATCCATATTTGTGATTCTGTACAACAAACGATTACTGCAAAATTATTTAAACGCAGGGACATGAAAGAGCTTATTGGCACAGTTCATTTCAAGAATCAAGATCACAAAGCTTGTTGGAGCAGTTCATTTCCATGTTCAAAACTTCAACTCACGCAGTCATATAGTTCCATAATTTGGAGATTTTTTGGGTATTTTCAAAAATGGACATGGAAAATTTTACAGAGACAAACCCAAAAATGCAAAGTGTAACTAAAATCCCGCAGGGACATGGGAACTTTGAATTTCAAGACAAAACCCACAATTTCTTGAAGGAGATTGACAACTTACAAGCAATCGCGAACAAGTACAGCAACTGTCATTGACAACTGGAAGGTGTCGACGATTTGAAGGAAACTGCCAAACTGGGGAGGAGGGGAGGGACCGAGCAGCGAACGGCGAGCGGTGAGCATGAGAGAGAGGAATGGAAAATTAGGGTCTAGTTTTCTTCAATTCAATGGGTTGTGATTTTCTAATTTGAGTTTGAGACAGGCTTTGAGCCCATTTTCTTTTTTTAATTAGGCTAGGTGGGTCGGGTTGAGACTTGGGTGGGTTGTAATAAAAAATTATAAATTGACAAAAATATTCACAAATGACAAAACTATTGAATTTTACATATTTGGATGAATTTTCAAAAAAATTCATTATTTTTATTTTTTTATTTTTATATATTTTTTCGCCTATCCGATTTGGTTTAAATCGTAATTAAAATTCTCAAACCTAAACTCTATTGAATTTTACAAATTTGGATGAATTTAAAAAAAAAATCATTTTTTTATTTTTATATATTTTTTCTCCGGTCCGGTTTGATTTTAAACCGTAATTAAATTTCTCAAACCTAAACCAAACCGTTTTTGACTGGTATGGTTTGGTTCAAAATCATTTCGTTGACGGGTTCATGTGGCACCAAACGACGGTTTCTAAAATGCGGTTTCAATTCGATTTTCCAATTTGACGATTTTTGCTTACAGCCCTTCCCGTTACCTTTGAAAATTTTAAGAATTAAAAAGAGTTAAAATATTGCATTTCACTGACAAATTAAAAAATTCAATAAATTTGCTGACATGATAAACAGAAATGTTGACATGTCATATTATTGTTGTTAATTGATGATAAATCAGCCAAAAAATATACTTGTAAAAAACGCGATTAACATGAAAAGCAATAAAAAAATACAGATAAACAAAAAAAATGGTTATAATTCTATTACATTTTTTATAAGCGCTTTTAATATATGGAAGTGCATTTTTAACTAATTTTTTGTCAACTCGCAGCAATGATGTGTCATGTCAACGTTTTCATTTGTAACGATAATGATTTCAACGAAATTTTCTAATTGTGAGTTATTGAGTGATGAATGAAAGAACGATTTGATAAGTTCCACGACCATTTAAAAAACTTTTAAAATTCAATGGCCAACGAAATAATGATTTGATAAATTTGGTGACCATTCGAAGAACTTATAAAGTTCAATGACCAACATAATAAACAATTTAATAAGTTCAATGATCATCCAAAAAACTTCCAAAATTTAAAGACCAGTGAAAATCATTGTGCAAAATTTAATGGCCATTTGGATTTTTAACCCAGCTAGCTCAAATCATATTTAGACGAGCCTTAATCGACCTGATTCTGGATACAAATGAATTTGTCTCACATATTTTGTCCTTCTCAGAGTAACACTGTGTAACAATCACATCATTTATAGAGAAGGTTATGAAACTGGATAATTAGACATGCTTGAAAATGCATAGATCATAAATTCTCAACTAAAGATTTTCTTTAGGTTTACGTGTAATATTATTTTATTGGAGAACGTGTGGTTGATAAGAAGAGGGAAAAATGAATTATAATTTTAATAGGGGCCAAGCGAGAGCTAAAACGAAACAAAATTAACTAACATGAAGCCGCTGCATTTATTTGATACTTCCGCTGCAATCAAAGGGCGTCTTAGCTTTCAGTTAAAATTCAGTAAAGCAACAGATCAAAACTTTCTATTTACATAAACACGTAGATAGCTATAAATCAAACATTTACCCTTACAGAGGTTCCAATCAGCACCCACAGGATGGCGCATATTACTCCAAGCAACGAAATACATAAAATACTAGTAGGTTTGCCTGAACAAATTGAAGTTGCAGAGGTATTACCTGCAGCAACGATCGTGTTTCTAGAATTTATTCTCATCCTACGGAAGCTAGACATTCGCTCAAAAGCCCTATTTACCAAAGCACTTTCCGCAGCTGAAGCAGGTGTTGTTGGTATAGACTCCACAAAATCCCAGATAGCAGAAGAGAACCACGAGTCTGTACCATCATCCTGTCCATCGCTTCGATTTTGATTTTGATTTTGATTTACTTTGGTAGAACGATTGACAGAATTACCAAAATGTACCACACCTAGACATACGAAAACTTGATAAAATCAGAAAACAGTCTTAACATTATATGATTAGAAGAAGAGCTCTTCAAGCTGGCTCAAACTCCCCCATTTCCACTTGGGCATGAGAATTCTTGCCTCGTGGAAGATGACATGGTCTTCCCATACCATCCATCTGACCAAGAGGAGCTCTTCGAGATTAGTAAATAAGAGATTTTAATGTTGTACGAGTACATGAACAATCAACGAAGATTACAGATACATTTTAAGGTGCTCAAGATTGTCATCATTTAAGTTTGCAATTAATTCAGTACCTGAAGTAGGTGAAAGAATAACCCTCTGATTTTCTTCTATAACAGGAAAACTGCTGCATCCTTGCTCACACATCCACAGCTGACAATTGGTTTCATTTAAAAGGGGCTCGTCCAGCTGGCAATTCACAGTTTTATTCGCAAGATTGTTGTTTAGACAGGAATTTGAAATCGGGTTTATGAATCCATTATCTAAATTATTCATATATGGTCGAGAAATCTGCCCCTTTTCAGTCTCTCGAAGGAACGTGGCTGCATCTTGGTACAGGTCAAGCTCACTGAACCCGTCAAATTCATCAAACTGAAGTTCCTCCGTGATGTCTGCTGCTTTATCAAGAGTTTGAGAGTTTGGTTCCTGACCAATTAGATCATCCAATTCAAGGAAATCCTCTTCAAACACATGAAGCTCTAAGCCATTTGGAGCTAAAGTGGACTTGAGTGCCTCGTAGTCTTGTAACTGCATTGTGCCCAACTGTGTCAGGTCAAAATTGGCTTGCACATTAGATTGTCGGCTGCATGGTTGGAGGACTGTGCTTAGTTCAGGTAAAGTCACGTCCTTTAAACCATGATCAACCAAAGTGCTCGGGGTTTCGTCATCACCCACAAACTGTTCCAGTACAAAGCCATTATCAAGAGCAAGAGGGGGAACAGTTTCAGGGTCGTCATCATCTCGGTTGAGGAACTCCTCGAGATCACGTATGGTATTATCAAAAGACACAGTTTCATAATCTTTCTTTGCAGAGTTCTCATCGTCAATAAGGCCATTGACATCTAGCTTATCATCATCCCATTCCTCTTCCCTAAAAGGAGCGCCATATTGTTCACCATTTTTTGGACCAGGCCCACTCTTCTTAAACACCTTGTATAGAGCATAGTAATCTTGTGCATCCTGGCATCTCTTCAGCTCCTCCTCATCCATGGTATATTCATGCATCACCCAGTCTGTACGTTCTCCTCTCAGTGCACGACCTTTATAGAAGACCAGGGTCTTCTTCACCCCAACAGGTCGAGAACTGCATGTGATGAAACGATCCTTCCCAGTCATCTTCCAGTATCCATGCCTTGTTCCCCTATTTGACCGTCCTCCATTTGGCTTCCTATCTCTATGGCTAAAGAAGAACCACTGCTTGTCGCCAGTTTTCAATTTAGATAACCCTGCATTTCATACATGCACAAACTCAATCAACAAGGTTCTAAAGCCAAAACGATCAAAAGTGAAAAGTACGAAAACATTTGGCATAAAACAAAAATAATCGCCAAAATCACAGTAAAATAGACAAACCATCGATCATCTTGTTCTGTTGACACTCGCACCCCTACATCCAGACATTAGTAAACAAAATACTGAAATCTAAAAATCTGGACAGTTAATCAAAACTAAGATATACAACAGAAGTAAGAAGGTAGGATAATTTATCAATCTTCAATTTTATATGTTCAGTCCATAGAACATAGAAACAGGCACAGTCTAATCAATTCCATTTTTCCTAAAGTTAGATATGAGCTCTTCATCTTCACCTCCTGATATTACGTAATCAACAATCTGAAATTGAATTTTCAGAAATCAGACTATAGAATATATTGAAATTGCCTTTAAAAAAAAGCCAAAATTAATCATACATCACGTTGACTTCAATTTTTAATCAACCACCAATCCACAACAGATCTGTAAAACACGAAACAACCCTAACAAATAAACTCATAAAAAAATCACTAAACACCAAAATCAGATAAAAACAAAGTTTAAACACAAAAGAAATTCAAGAAACAAAAGCAAAAAACTAGCAATCAGATACTAAAAATGAAGTCAGCAATCAGATAAACGCCTAAAAAAAATTAAGAGCATAAAAATTTATAATTCTTAACGACCCAACAGTAAAACGGAAAAAAATAATGAAAAATCATACCAGGCAACTCTTCTGGATCCCACTTATAAACATCGATTTCTCCGATGACATCAAGACGGTGCTTCTTTTTACAGATCTTCTTCTTGAGATAGTAAAGCACGAGCTCTTCATCGGTGGGATGAAATCGGAAACCCGGAGGAAAATATTTTTCGTCCCCGAAACACCCAGAACCCGAATCCACGCTCACCTTCATCTTTCTTTTCTTCAAAAAAATTGGTAAAATAAAAAAAAAATGTATATATGGGATGTTTAATATTTGGATTGAAAAAAAAAATAGATTTTGATTTTGAGAACTGGCAAAGACTAGTACTACATCAAACGGCTGTAGGTAAAGAGAAAATCCTGTAGTCAATGGAGAACACGGCGAAGACGCGGAGTCTCTGTAATGTCGGTGCTTTTGGAATCGGCCTTGCTACTGGTACATCACATTGTAATAAAAGTGTACACCCTCTTCACACGAGGGTAGGACCCGCTTAGGTTAAAAAATAATTTATGCAATGGGTCTACGGAGGGATGTAATCCCTTATATACAATTTGTGATATACAAGTAGCATTTTTGTTTCGGAATTTGGAGGCATTTGTCCATTTAAGGAGAGTTTTTCTTTGTGCATGTACGCATGACATGATCCTTTATATATAAATCCATCTTTTTTCCCTTGTCGTGTAAATTCAGTTCGCACACCTCGATTAATCTTACGGGACCCTTAAATTTACGATCGGACACTCACCTCAGTGGCTTTGAGAGGAATATACATCCATTTTTAAAAATAATATTTTATTATATTTTAAATCCTATATAAATTTACTAAAATAGACATAACTAAAATTATATAAAAATGTATAACTCTAATTCACTAATTTTTATTTTCATTAAATTATCCTAAATATTTTTATATATATTTTTTAAATTTATGTTTAACTATGACTCTAATAGATTGGCCAAAAAAAGGGAGTGAATTTAAGTAAAGCCCTGTTTGGTGGATATTTTTAGAATAGATTTTGGAAAAAGTGCTTTGCGAAAAATAAACGATTAAAAATAGAAAAAAGTTATGTATTTACGTGTAAAATTATTTTATTAAAAAATATGTAGTTAAAAATAAATTTGTAAAAAAATGAGTTTAGAAAATAAAGGTCAAACCTAAATGCGTATTTGAGCAACGCATACTTTACAGAGTAAAATATTTGAATGGTTACTGAGTTTTAACATGGTCACGATTTACTCATTGAACTTCAAATTGCCTCTTAATGGTCACTGAACTTTCTACCGTTGCACCACATCCAACAATCCCCAAATTTCGTTACCATCGAAGCTGACGTGGCGGACGAAAAACATGCGTGGAAGATGACGGCCGTAAAAAAAATGACAACTCAGCGAAAACATTGTTTCACTACTCATCCAATTTACATTTTGTCACAGTTCATTCATCGAACTTCAAAATGTTTCCCAATGGTCACTCATCTTTGAAATGTTGCACTCTATTCATCATCTGCACATTTTGTTCCCTTTGTTCCTAATATTCGCACAAAAATTTCACGTGATAAGTTATAAATATTAAAAAAATTGCAACTCAACAAAACTTAACTCACCAAAATCATCATATATGAAACGTGACCTCCACGCCCCCATCAACTTCTTTAAAACTCAAGAAAGCGTCCCCAATGATTCTTTTAGAAATATCATTTTTCTAATTTGAACGTTTACTATACAAAAAAATATGTTTCGATCTGAAACTAAAACTCTGAAACATAACTTGTTTGATTGGAACGTTTACCATTTATGAAATGCGACTTCCACACTTCATAAACTTCTTTAAAATCTAATACAGTGTCCCCAAACAAGTTATGTTTCAGAGTTTCAGCTTCACATTGGTTTGAATAAAAATAATTTCTATTCACTACGAAAGAATAAATTAAGGGTCCGTTTGATTGGTTTGAATTCTATTGAAAATGTCACATTCGATGAATTCAATTTCCACTTTGACTGTTTGATACGAAAGTGGAAATTGAGTTCTAATTCCAAGGAACAACCACTTTAAGCTTATTTTTTGTCAATTTTATGGAAAATGCATTCTTATGGGTATTTGTGTTTTTATTTTCCAACTTACATGGGATTGGAAAGCCTTTCCACATTTGCCAATCAGCCTTTCCACATTTGCCAATCAAACGGACCCTAAATTCCTGAATAATGAACTCCGACAGATATTAGCTCGCAAAGGCATCATCTACCTGTGATTAAGAAGATTAGAGAAGAGGAAAAACCTAATGCTCTTTGTCTATGTGTTAGAAACCCCACCTTAGGATTTGAATATCGAACTTTATTGACCAAATCGATATCACTCTCACATCCCTTGTCGTAATCCTTGGCTACAATCAGCAACTTTTAAATTATGAAATCCCAATATAGATTAGCTCCACTCCTGATTTCTTTTAAGGGGTTGATCTATAAGCTTGATAAATACATGTGATACTTAAAGTAGAGAAAGGCACGGGAAAAGAGTAGGAGAACATGACACATCAGCCAAAAAAATCTATCTTCTTTCCTTGGACAAGTTCAAACTACAAATCAAGAAAATAAAGAAACATTCTATGACACAAGTTGTGCAAGGACAAGCATAAACTTGTACTGCAATATTTCGGGGAGATTGATAGAAGCCGCACAGAACTCTTCCCAGTAAAGCCACAAATAACCAGCTACTTGTTCATTATACTTTTGTTATCTATTTCAATTACAAGAACAACACATTAATATAAATAAGGGGGAAGCACAAAAGAGAAAGGTATGCTTTCTGAATCAAACAACACTAAATCGAAATCTCAAAATCCTATCTAGAGATCACATCTACTGCCAGAGTAGGAATTCATTTGCATGTGATGGTCTGTACATTCACTCATGAATCGCGTATGATTTAAAGGCTGTGTAGTTTCTTTGTTTGCCTTTTTGGAACAGCAATTGGGAAATTGAGGTCAAAACAAAGTAGGAGATTAAGTGGGAAAATGATAAGTCAAAAAACTAAGTGAGCCAGTTATTTTTTTCCTAAACCCGCTCTACATCTTTGAAGTTAAAAAGCATATCATAAGCCTGACCATAAAGAGAAAGAATTAGTTCATAATTAAAACGATTGTTTCTTGAATCTCCATGTGATAAGATTGCCACCAAAAAGGTCCAATAAAAGAAATTAGATTGTCTATGAAACCTGCTCAATCTGCATCTGTTTTGACCTCCACTTTCAAATCTTCATGCGATTTGAACAATATACCTTCCCCTCCCCTCTACATCCCCCATACTCCCACTACACAGCTCCAATACCTCACCCCGCTGCCCAATACATACATTGCTCTACACATTACCAGCCTTACTTCTCTACGTGGTACCCCTACTGTGTCGCCCCTTCTCTCACACCCTTTATGTTCATGTTGACATACAAAAAAATGAAGTCCAATTAAATGGTCCAAGAATCGAAGCCCAGTTAGGGAGTTCAAGATATAGGCCCAAATGAGACCATTGTAGAATATCGCGAAAGCCCATAAATAAAGTACTATCATCACCCAAGCCTGCAGAACGCCCAGGATCTGAGCGAATGAAGCGCCTTACTGTCGCCCAGAGCGATGATCTCATTCTCGCCCAAGCCTTTGAATCTCTCAAGATTTGAGCGAATACAGTGTCTTGTGAATACTTAAAATGATGGTTATTGAGCAACCTTATCACACCCCACGATCCAAGAATCTCGATTACAAGTGGTTAAACAACAAGAGTAATAGTAACAATTGCAAACGGCAGTTCCTTGACAAGTCAGCCATCATTAAGAAAGTGGGTAGTTTTAGAGCGCCAGTAGTTTCCAAGCAGTTCTACAGAGAAAACCGTCGAAAGAGTATAAACAGAAAAATAAGACCTAGAAGGAAGGACCCCGAATCAATTACTCTCAACAGAGAATATGTAATTTCAATTCATTTATTTTTTAAGTGCAAACTTTCAATTTATTTCGTGTACTTGTACCCCCTTGAAGACGTTTTGCTTCTTCCGAATTGTAATCTTCATAAATAAAGTACCTCTTTTTGGGAATTTGTCTCAAAAGATTTGTTTCTTACACAATCGTCTGAACCTATCTTTTAATTGTTAGCGATAACTCGCGCGAAACAATTTGGCACGCCCAATGGGATAATTGGTGTTTAAGGATACGAAAAGTGAAGTATTATGATTCATAAGAATTCTGATAAAGAGTCGGCAAGCCAATGAGTAGTTCAGTTTGTGATCGAGCGATATGAGGAACAACAAAGCTCTCCACGAACAGAGGGACAGAGTCAAAGCAGTTAAAGTTGCCACGAGCCAATGACAGAGTTGAGTCCTAGAACCATACGCGCATTACTTGGGGAACTCACACATGATGTCGTTGAACAGGTAAATCTACAAAATGTTCATAATATGGAAAGATTTATCCAAAATGGGAATGCACATTATGACAACATAGCCAAACAACTAAATACATTAAATGAAATCATGAACAAGTTGGTGGGCCAAATGTGTCAGCCAATTGTAAGCTACTTTCAAGCCATGACGATTGTGGGACATAATCCCCGAGTCCCGAGTCCGAATCAAGGAATAGAGCCACCTTCTGGACCATCTACTTCAAACCAGGGGGCTAGCGAAATGCCAAACTTGAATGATGGTAATGGGATGTCAAACATGGGGGGTAATCCAAATTTAAGAGATGATATCCAAAGTAATGGACAGAACACCCATGTCAATGATGGTGGAAACACTCAGGCTAAAGGTAATAATGGTTTGAATATTAGGCATCAAGTAACTCAACTAATGAACCAACCTGAGGAGTGCCATATGATCCCAATGTCATGTTGAAGAATCAAATTATGGAAATGGTGCAGGATCAAATGGCTTTTGGGATAGGTCCTGTTATTAGGCCGACTTATACAAAGCCATATACTGATTGGGTAGATCAGGCATATCCGTGGCCTAGAGGGTATAAAGTGCTAGAATTTTCATTATTCACCGGTCTAGGAGAAGTGTCTACTCTAGAACATATAGGGCAATTTACACTACAAAGTGGTGAAGTAACTGACTATCACAAAATAAGATTGTTCCCTAATTCTTTAACAGGAGTAGCTTTCTCCTGATTCATTAATTTGCCATCAAACTCTATTCAAACATGGCAGCAACTAGAACAATTGTTCCACGCT